GGTTACGAAGCAAAGACTCTCTAGATGGATAGTAGACTCCATCTCGCTAGTGTACTCTTCTTTGGGCTTTCAATGCCCCATTGGAGTACAAGCCCACTCGACTAGAGGCATCGTCTCGTCTTGGGCATGGTCCAGTGGCGTATCCATTGCGGATATTTGTGAGGCGGCCGGCTGGGCCTCGCCGTCCACATTGGCAAGGTTTTATAACCTGGAAGTCCCGGCCTTGCAGGCCAGGGTCCTTTCCGCTTGAAGTGACATGCGCTCTTAGCCTTGGGTTGTTGTTAACTTCTCTATGGGCATTGGTTGCTTATGAAAGTTTGATACTTTTAGTCATTCCACTACATTAGCACAGCGTGATTGTACAGTGTTCCTATATTCGTCTAGCAAGACACAGCACGAGTGTAGTATCGAAAGGGAACGTACTCGGTTACTAACGTAACCTTGGTTCCCTGAGATACAGGAACGAGTACTGCGTTGCTAGCCGTGCTATGTAGCTGCACGACTCAGTCGTCGCTTCAGTCGAAGTAACCTGAGAATCCTGTGGCGAACGCCCGCTTATATAGCCAGATGCCCCGCCCATTCTGGCGGGCTTTGGCAGGCTTTGTCGCCATAGGCTCGTGCAGCCTCGCTGCCTAGCCATTGGTTCGTTTTTTAATACACTGCACGAACCAATGGCCGTGCAGTTTCACTGCGTGAATGAAAAGGCTTCAGTTCAGGAGAAAAAAGGCTTTTTTCCCATATGCGTCTAACAAGACGCAGTACTCGTTCCCGTATCTCAGGGAACCGAGGTTACGTTGGTAACCAAGTACGTTACGTTGGATTAAAACTACAAGTTCTATTAAGTTTGGACAATTCTGTACACAGTAATCATCAGAATATCTCTTCGCTTTTCTCTTAAAAATGTACGGATTTTGAAATCATCCTGCAGATCTTTTATTCAACTAGGTGATTACAGCATATTGAAAAATATACATAATCAGAAGAATCGATACACTGCTTCGATGGGCACTTCTGGTAATCAATTCCACTGTGATAAAGGTCCATTGGGTAAGAAATTTAATTACTTCAAGACATTGTTATATATTATTAAGTATTATTACAAAATTAAAGGCCCTACTTCTACATTTATCTTGATTAAAACATAAATAATAATACAAATAATTAAAAAAATTATTGTACCAAAGAAAAAAATCTTTACCGTCCCTCATGTTGTTCCAAACCTTATGACCTTATTTCTTTAGTGGTACACAAAAAGGAGATATTACTCAGAATGGCAAAAAAAAAAAAAAGTCCCCAACATTCTGCTTAACATTTCCGTTTGTGTTCCACAGAAGAAAGAAAGTCATCTGAGTTTAAATGTTACATAAAGTTGAATAAATTATGTCAGAACTTTCATTTCAGGGTGAGCTATCCCTTTAAATTAAATCTTCAGATAACCATAGAGCCTTTAACCAGAAATGAGGGACAGAGACAGCGAAAGCTATTTAAAAAATTTATTCAAAGCTGCAGTTGGGAACATCTTGTCAAAATCTGTGTGTGTGTACCACTAATAGATTTGGCTGTGGTGAATGCACTATGGGGTATTACATCTGAGTCCCAGTGTGTCATCATTAATTCTTTTGGAGTGTATGTGTGTTTCATTGATCTGCTATGCTAGCTGTTGCTTGTATTTTGGCAGTCTCTTGCAGGCAAGTCTCACTGCTTTTTCACAACACTACCTGTGCAGCAACCAGTGGCATATTGCAAATCTATACAGCCTCCTGCAAAGCACGAGTTGGGTCTTGTCCATAATCACTGATGTTATGTATGTTAAGTAAGTTTGTTATTGATAGCTTAGCTTGCAAGCATAGCACTAATGGGTTAAGAAAAGTTATTTTAGTTAGCTAGATCAAAATATTATAACATGCTACATTTTTAATCAGGATTTGAGGAAGGATCTTGTACGACACTGCCTGTGGATGAAATCAAATATTAAACTATTACACTTTCCAATATTAATATTCTGTGATATTAACCTTTCGAGTGTGTGATTGTTTCCTGCAATTTTGATCCCAGGGAAAATTAATTTTATTCCACATCAAAAAAACGATGATTAACTTTTTTTGTCCTACGCATACGCAAGATTTCTGTGTGGTGCAATGATGTGTCCTCTATATGTTGAGCCGTACCATGATGTCATTATGAATGAATCCCTTGCGGTGGCGTGCAGGTTTGAGGTGTGGGTATTCCTCAGTACTGGTCACTCGTATCCCCCATGCCTTCTTCCAAGCCTCATACAGCTGAATATGGACTGGATATACACCAGAATGATGAGGGGCCACGGCATATCCCAGATCTACTGGAATACCATGCTCCTATAATGAGAAATACACAGAAATAAATATAGTTTATAGCTGAATGTCATGCACATACACAAGCATATTACAATCTTGTATAAACACATATACACAAGTAATCGAGTACTGAAGTGGATGACTTACAACTTAAAAATATTTAACACCAATCAAAATTCAGAAAAGCTCCCACTCTTTTTCAGTGATCATTTTCCAGGACTTTGAGGACTTTTCCAGGATATTTTCAATTTAATTAAGACATGGAATAAAAAACAAGAATCATTTCCTGAAGTATTTAAAATATGCACAGTTTATGGCCTTGACTTTAAAGTCAGCTCTTTAATATGAGCTCTTATATATTGTGACGAGTCGGCTGCCTCCCCCCTAATTATCATCATCACCCCGTCCCTTAATCGCCGCCCTTCGCCAGGCTCCCGACAGGAGTGGGTGCGTGAGAGAGGAGGGGCGCTGAAATAGCCAGGGCTGGCGGCGTGTGATGGGGCACACCTGAACAGAATGGAGCCTCATCACCGCCGCGGTTTAAATGCCGAGCGCGCCTCTCCTCGGGAGACCGGTCTCTTCCCCGTGCACTATCTATCTATCTATATATATATATTACTTGTTGTCAACTCTCCCCCACGATTTTTATTAATAAAATAGTCTAGATACTAGATTAGGGTGACCATATTTTAGTTTTCCAAAAAGAGGACAGTGGGAGTGGGTGCGGGTGGGCGGTGTGCTTGGTTGGTGGTTAAAGTAATGCCGAAAGCGCCCAAAGTAACGCAATCTCAAATATCAAAACTATGTCATTTCCATACCAAATATACATATTTTACAGTCACTGTTATGCATATTTATCATAAACACAGCTAAAAAGCTTCCTACCAGTGGCCGTCCTTCACAAAACCTAACATCTAGAACAGTTTTATCATAGGTAGAATGCAAAATGTTTCAATACAAGCATTTCAGTCAAATGTAATTTAAGCAACATTTCAAACCTTTATCCATGGAGGAAAATCAAGCCATGGCAACAGTTTAAAAGTAGCCCAATTCCATCGAAAAAAAAACGCGGACTTGACAACCCTGCATCCAACACAAGCTGCAGGAGTCAGATTTGACTGATCACGGGTTGAGAGGAGAGATGGCTGACAGACCATGCTGGAGGATTTGCTGCTCAACAGATCCTGAGCTCATTGACAAATATCTGATCTTCCTTTACACAGAGCGTGCTTGATCACGAAATCGAAAGTGAACAGTGAGCGCTCATTCTGAGCTCATTGACAAATATCTGATCTTCCTTTACACAGAGCGTGCTTGATCACGAAATCGAAAGTGAACAGTGAGCGCTCATTCAAAACAGATTATATTCTCCGCATATTGATAGCGGCTCCCTTATGCGCGAAAATTATATGCAATATTAGAATGTTTGTGGGAGTGGGTGGGACTGGACACAGGCTTCTTCAGGGCTCTAATACAAAAATGTACACTATGAATGGCGACTGTAGAAAGCAAAAGCCGAATCCCGGACATTTTGGGCGATTTAGAAATCCCGGCCAGACGCATCTTTCAAGGTCCAGAAAGGACATGTCCAGGAAAAAGAGGACGTATGGTCACCCTATACTAGGTCGCTACATTATATTCCTCAGCAACAATGGTAAAATGGCTGTTTTTGAAGTAATTATTGGTAACGCGTTAGATTCCAACCCGCAATGTACTGCGTAAGTAAACAGAATTTACAGCGTAACTTTTTTGTAATTACAGTGTACCTATTCAGTACCTCCGTGTAGATATAAGGTAACAATATGCGAAGTTTGGGGAATAAAGGAGTAATAATCTGTAAAATTACAAATTATTTCTACTGTAAGTATTTTGAAACTAAGGGGTACCTATTCTAATATAACAGGGTATGTATGACCTAACAATCTTATATTTGAATATAAAATTATAAAAAGTATATATCGTCTTTCTAAATCATTCCCAAACATAAGATTGTTGTTTAGGCCATACATACCACGTAATATTAGAATAAGCACCTCTTAGTTTCAAAATACTTACAGTATAAATGATTTATAATTTTACAGGTTGTTACCCCTTTATTCCCCAAACTTCGTATATTATTCCCTTATACCTACACGGAGGTACTGAGTAGGTACACTATATATTATAATTACAAAAAAGTTACACTGTAACTTCAGTTTAGTTACGCAGTTCTTTGCAGGTTGCATATCTGGCGGTTTACCACCTTAATTACCCAAAACGTAACACATTGTTCCCTTATACCTACACATATGTTCTTTATAAGTACACTATAATTACAGAAACGTACACCGTAAATTCAGTATACTTACATAGTTCTTTGCGGGTTGTAATCTAAAGCGTTACCTAATTATTTATAGAGAGAGACACGCAGACGCAGCACGCAGGTACACACAACTGTCATCTCTCTCTCGATCTATAATTAATTGAAATACATGCTATAATTCATTCAAATATATGTGATCTTACGCACTATTTCATCTCTGTGTCTAATGTTCCTGTGGCTCAGTGGTAGAGCATTGCGTTAGCAGCGCAAAGGTCATGGGTTCAATTCCCAGAGAACACACATGCTGATAAAAAAATTTATAGCCTGAATGCACTGTAAGTCGCTAAGCGTCTGCTAAATGCATAATTTTAATTTAATTTAATTTGAAGCGGGCAGAATGCTAGAGCTAACATGCCATGACGAAAATAACTGTCATTTTTACCCATTCGGTCAAATATTGCTCTATCGCATACCTTGTCAGTGTCATGCGCTTGCTTAGACCTTTGTTGTGATAAACAGTAAAGTGTGTTCAAGCGCTAGCAAAAGACAGTTTAAAGAAATACTCTTTGAAAGAAGCAGTCAATCAGCGGAAGTTAAAAGCAGATCATTAGAATACCGTGGCAGCGGTCACGGCAGCCCTCCTGTTAAGCCCTCCTCGTGTGAAGACCATCGACTCTACCGTGCGACTCCACCGGGCAGGGACACTGGCAAGGGATATAAGTATCGCTTTTGATTTATCCTTTTTCCTACTACTTGTTTCACTTCTGTTTCAGTTTTTGTAACCAATTCTTACTATGTGTTTCCAGATCCCTACTATCACTACCACTCGCAAACCACGTTTCACACACTGTAGGCAGCCAGGGACGGATTAACGCACAGGCGTAAAGTATTTGAAAGCTGCCCTGCCCAGGGCACTAAACCAGAGTGGGGCCCAGCCGAAATACTGCTTCTCCAAGAATGCGATTTCAACCGTGCCCCCTCAGGATTTTAAGCAAAGTGGATTTTGAATGCAGCTTCCAAAAGACCAAAAATGGCTGAATAATATTTTTTAATATTCATATATTTGATACGATTAGAACGTTCAGTGCGGCACAGCATCAGCTGCCAAATTCAAATCTGCGTTCGTGCTTTGGCTGGCGCTGAGCCAGACGCGTTTTTACAGTGCTGCGCATTATAACCAATCACACAGGATTCTGTTGAGCTTATGAATGCAATGGCCAATCAGAGGCATTCAGATGAGTCATCGCTGAAAAGCCCGTGTTTTGTTCAGTGCGCGCTGGCTGACTGAATGCTGCTCTCTGGCGAATTCTCTCATTATAAACAAAGTGCGGATGTGTGTACCATGTAAGTAAGATATTCATTTCACAGTATAAACAGCTTCAGTGATTATAATGGGAGTTGTTGAGAGTGCTTGAACTCTGTCTAGACTGAAGTTAATATTCTTTGATGATGCAAATATTCTTTGCTCTCTTTATGTACAATGAAAGAAATATAATTAGTAACTTACAATGTTTTTATTAAATTTACGTTAAATA